CCTGAGCAGTATTGACAAACCACACGAGCACCGGGTCTGACTGCATGATCAGCTGTCTGTGTCTACGCTACACCCTGTTAACCACAAGCAGTGTTAGAGCTAAATATATCTGCAATGCAGAAACGGTAGGTGCTATGTGGCATACAATTCTGATCAGTTTTAAGATATTTTGCTATCCTCAGATATAATAAATAAAAGAAAATTTGGTGCTGATCTCTGTCAAGCACGGTATCTTGTCAGACTTAGAGAACATAAAAGCTATCCTAAGTACACTGACCTAGATAGCACTAAGAAGACTTAAGCAGCGTACGAGCATACTCACTGTCAGAGCAAGGAAAGCGAAACAATGATTGTCTAATCAAACTGAAAGCAACAACTCACTACCACAGTCTGAATTCCAAAATGCTACGTACTGTATATGCACATCTCATGTTATTGGAAGACGCAAAGCTCCTTTGTTTTTTTTTTTTTTTTCTCGGAGGCTTTTCTTAGCTACGGTTGCACAATGACATTCTGACATCATGGAGGTCAATGCAGATACTAAAGTGCTGTCGTCTTTAAGGAGAAAATAATTTTGAAACATAAAACCAGCAGAAATAATAATTAAAAATATCACATCACCTACTTAATGGCTTTCTGTTACCTTCTGAGATTAATAGCGTGCATGTTGTTCAGCCGCTGCGTACGTTAAATTGGTATCACCCTCTGCAGAGACTGCAGTGTCAAAAAAGGCTTATTTTCTGGAAAACTTAAAAGCACAATAAAATATTTTGCATGAATAATGAAGAATATGCAAAGATAAAAACATTAAAAACTACTAATCTGATTTTTTTAAAATGCCTAATAAGCTAAAATGGTTCTGTTTTCATTGTCACTGTGTCTCCAAAGGGAGAATGAGAGAACCATACTGCAGTTTACTATAACCTGAATTACCTTCCCAGAAGGCTAAACCAGCAGGTGAGGTAAAACAAACCGTAAGATCTACCTGTTTAAAGAGTAGAATCTCCCCCACTATGTCAGTGACTTCTCTCAGCTCCCTCTCCCTCCACCTGTGAATACCGCAAGCTGATACCCAGCACGAGAACAGAATTGTGAAGATTAACGTGTTAGCTCTGAAAATATTTCACTGAAAGAATTCTTTAGGTAAATAATATTTATCATATGCATAAGAGAATAGAAATGGTTTCTGGCCAACTGCAGAAATAAACAGCTCCTTGTGAGGCCAGATTTGCCCAGAGAAGCGCTATCTTTCATTCGACCTGCCAATATGGCTGAGAAAGAAAGCAGCCAAATTTTCAGACACATATTCTTTCCCTAGGAACCTGTGTACCTTATGATTTATTTTTTTCTCTAAAAGAGCACCACTTTTTAAAAGTGAAGACTAATACCAAATATCGTGTTAAATCAGAAAATGTTGCACAGCAAAAACTAGGCTGCTGTACGTACGTATTCATTTCTTGTAAAAATCAGACAATCTGTTTTTGCTTCCCCCCCCCTTTCTTTTTTAATGATTAAATAGGTATCTGTTCAGTTTGGAGGTTTTTCTTTGGGAAGTTATTTGGCATTTTGTTCTCTTTCATTTTAAAGGCTGGGAATGAGATGATCCTAACAGTCAGTGCTTTAAAATATTCAGAATCCCCTTCCATAAATAGCACATCTGTCACAGAAAGGGAACCCAGCCAACAGAAAGGCAGATCAGACCAGCAAAAACAACTGCTATTGCAATGCATGATTACAAAATAAGTTAGGATTTTAGCAAGCCTTTATTTGTATTTTTGTTTGTTTTGAGCCTTTTTAATTAAGAGCTGTCTGATGCCACCATATATCACCTTTAAATTAAGAATATTAAATATAGCTTAGTTTTGAGGTTTATTTAATGTTCATCTCCTAGTTAAATGTATACTGTCACGTTAGTCATGCCCTGTTTAAAACCATGGTGAAAGCTCCTATAGATTTCAAGAAGGGAAGATTTGAGCTGTATTAGCAGTTTGTTAAAGTATGATATTATTATTTCAGAAGCCAGTGATAGTTTTGTATAAAGACAGTAATTTTCAGCAGAAGATTGATTTCTGCGGAGTCTCGCAACAAATATGTCTGCTCCTGCATTCCTGAGGTCAGCATTCTTAGTCTCCCAGAGAAGTACTGCTCTGGGACAGACACAGCAAGGTGTTTTGGCTTGTGTGATTTAGGAAACATTAATAGCCTGCTGGCAGTGAACACAGCAGAGGAATAAACATCTCACACTGAACAGGGGAGTGAGTCTGTCGAAATCTTTATGCATACTTCTTGCTTTAATGGGCAATTTTCAGTGCTTAATAATAATTTTGCAGGCTTAAATTTGTAATGATTTTGCTTCAAATTCAACATCAGTTCAGAAAGCAGATTCTTCATCCTTCTACAGCTTCACAATACATGCCATGGTAGATAAACAAATTCAAAAAGTTGCATTTGTAAGTTGCACAAAGTAGGCCAAATTTTTCAAGGTAGAGATATATTCATATTTTATGTAATTTCTCACTCAGCAACTTGGATTTAAGCTCTAACATGATTTGTGCCAAAACTGTTCCAGTCCCAAGGCATTGGCTCGCTTGAGTCCTGACTTCAAAATTCCCTGCCTCTGCTGGGCCAGGAGTGTCTCTGTCCATGCTATGAGCTTGTGTCACTTCTTTATTCAATCAGCTTAAAGTCAGGCTATTTCTTATATCCTCACTGGATCTCACAGGCCATTTGTGCTGCAGCCTTTCCCAGTTTCAAGCATCCTACTTGTAAACATGCTTCCTCTTCCTTTATTTATCATCACTTATCTCTCCTCACATACTATAGCTTATCAAAATTGGTGAGGAATGAAGACTTCCAGCATCACTTTATATTGCATCATCCTCCTTGTGGTACATGGTTTCTTAGAGGAAAAGTCCTAGTCCTTCACATCAATCATTTGGCAAAAGGAGATAGGGTGTGGAAAGAAAGACACATAAAGTCCCTAAACCTGTACTGATTTTTGTCTCAAAAGTATTGCCACACCTTGTCTTCCTAAGAAGGAAATACAAAGGGCAGTCGGGTAGGCTGGGAACTCTGCCAAGCACCAACCTTGTAGCAGTAAATATCTGGATGAAGATTAGGAGACTTTGAGAAAAAAAGTGACAAACACAGTTTTATACAGACCAGTTCACTTCTGTCTTTATTCAACACACGTCCAAGCTGGACCAAGGGAATAAACTGTGCCTCTAGCTATAGGAGAAATGCTGGATGTGAGAGATGTGCTTAATAGTAATGAGCATGCTTAATAAATGAATGAGCAAACATACATACACTTGGGTTCATTGACAGCTTAGTACTTACAGTTTTGGTTTTGTTTGTTTCTAAAATAGTTTGTCAAGTAAATGAGCAGCATATGGAAGTCAAAGGATAGAATCAACCCTGGCCCTCAAGAAACTGTAGTGAACTACTTGGTGATACAATCCCTGCAAAGCAATGACAAGGGGTCATGAAGCACAGCTGGGAATCCAGGGTGGATGTTAAAAGGCATACCAGAATCAGCTACAGCCTTTGAGCAAACTTGCTCTTGGAATGACTCTTTCAGCCTCTGAATTTAGCTGTAATCAATTATATTTGTCTCTTCATTCCACTATTGCCATTGCAAAAAACACATCGTTGGTGAATACTCAGTTTGAAATTAAGAGTTATTTTGGAAAATTAAAAACCCACACCCTTTATTATGAACTAAATTTCTCTGACCTAACACATTCAGGAAGGCATCCCTATACCCAGGCATTCAGCCTAGTCATTAACTTGCTGGTCAAATGCCTTCTGTCCCAAATCCTACTGCTGCATCCTACATGATTTAGAAGCTACCTTCTTCAGCACTAAAGCTCCACTTTGGGCTGTAGAAAAGAAGGGGATGGAAAGGAAAAAAGGACTCATGATAGAACCTCCACAGTCTGCCTTTCTAGAGCCAAAGTAAAGCACATTTGTACCTGACCCAGCCAACATGCCCTGGACTTCCATTTGTGTACACAGGGAGCTTAAGTTGCCCCAAGGATACAGACTGACTCAGTTGAGTGCTGACAGTTTTCCAGACTTCCCCACAATTCCTTCTGTGGCTCTGTATGGCTGAACAAAGTCTTCCATTATTTGCCAGGACAGAAAACAATTGCTCTTAGTTATTCCTGTAATGATTTACACACCTTCATTTTTAATTGTCACACTCCCATAAACAGGCCACCAAAAATAATATGTAAGCGGTCTGAGATGCTGTTCCTGTTAGATGGGGTTGAACAAAAAGCAGAGCAGCATTTAAAGGCAATTCCTTTTATAAAAGGCAAATACAGAGACTCTACAAAAATAGCAAGTATCTGAATATTCTGAAATGTAATCTGAGATAGTCCATTGTATCAATGTGTTATGAACATGCATTATGGGCATGCCTAAACTGCAGGATCACAGACAAGCCATGTACTAAGATATATTGAGGTACCAAATGGGGGTTTTTTGTGAAATGCTTCTAACAGCCACTTATAGTCTAGTACTCTATACCATAAAATCTTTAAGGATTAGAACACCTGGGATTCACTGTAAACAAATGGCAAAGAGAATTTCTTTAAAAACTGTAATACTATCCATAGAATCTGAAGAAAGTGATGCCTTTATAGATATTTGTGCTCACCTTTACAGTTGTATTTTTGTATTTTCTGTGTAACATGACACTCAAGGTAGTTAGCAATAATAAGTGGCTTTGCCTTGCTTTTTCTCAGAATAGTGCTTTAATTACTGATAAGTGTAGTCCTCTCCATCTAATTCTACTTCCTTAGGCCCTATTTGCTTTCTAAACTGTTGCCAGACACTATGACAAAGGTTTCAAATTTCTGTCTCTTATCACTCCAGGCTAATTCACATGATTAGTGAATTTAGGTATTGTATTTTTATCAATTTTACTTTGTTCTTATCAATTCTATTTTTTTCTCTACTAAATGGCACAACTTGCTTGATGCCCATACCTGCACTTTTCTTGTGCTTCCCTTGTGTTGATCAGCACATCCATGTTCACATCACCTATTTCTTCTCTTCCAGTTTTATGGGGCAAACTTTTCTTTTAGAGAGTAAGAGACTCAAAGATTTGATATGGAAAGAGGCTTCACTCAGTCACATAAAATCCTGTAGAGAGATTACAGACATTTAAGCTGAATCATTCTCAGCAGTACTAGGCAGTAGACAAGAAGAGCAATAAGAATTAGGTTGGAAAAAAGTAGGTTGGAAAAAAAGTAGTTTCTCGAAGCAGTCAACATAAAATCTATTCAGCCATTTTACATTTTCAAATCAGCAAAAAATTTCCTTTTATAAACACATGATTAAAGTTAATTCTGAAACATATAACTTTTAGAAGAATCAGGTCTGTGAACATAATCTCTCTCTCAATAATTGCTTTTTTTTTCCCCCTGTAAAGCTTTAGTAGGGACTGTCCAGCTATTTTGAAGAACAGACAGGATGAGAATAACACACATTTCTCATTATCAAAAATAGTAAGAAATCATTTTTGAACAGTGCAAGTACTGGAACAAGCAGGGGTAGGAAGCTGGAGTATGTCAGCAGAAGAGAAAATGTTTTGAAAGTTCCAAGAAAACTGTTTAGCATTTGATAAAATAAAATGTCACATAACAGGACAGCGAAATCTCATTTCCTTAAACCCATGTGTATAGATGACTGTCTCACAGCTCCAAACAGTCTAACAAATGTAGAACCAATGCAACCAAAAATCCATTTCAGACTTACATGCTCAAGCTCAGCTGTTCATTATGCTGCTAAATGTGGGCTGTTCTTTGAGGGCTGTAGATCTGCTTGAACCATTTCTCCCAACCAGTCCAGTTGTGAAGCTTCTTCCTTCATTTTTTCATCTGCTCCTGACAAATGGGAGAGAAGTTCTAAGTGAGTCTTCCCACTGTCAACCTGGTATGTGTAATCAAAACCCCAGAGCATTAACTCTGAACCCCAGACTACTGAACTTTTCCTCAGTGGTATTGACTGAGATTTGTCTACTGCCACTCCCTTACACAGTTGTGACTGTTTATCTTCCTGACCACACAGGCACCTCATTTTAGGAAAGCTGCACAAATCACAGCTCTCTGCAGTCTGAACTAGTTCAGCTGGAACTGAGGTCAGTGTGAGGTCCTGTTTAAAAAGCTTTCAGTCCTAGATCACTTACAAAATTACATAATTTCTCTTTGCACAAATTCCACAGCTCTTCCATGTTTCAAAACTGAAACTGTTCTGATGGTCTGAATGAATCAGGAAGATAAATTCACACACTAACAGAAAGTTGTATCCCATTAACTCCTTGGGATTTCAATGAAATTTAGGAGCTGGTGAGCAATGGTAGTGCTTTGTTAGAGTGCAGTAGTACAAAAGGCTCTATTAACAATAATAATACACTTTTACAGCATGTTTTATCCAACAGTCTCAGAGATCATTACAAACATTAATTGAGCCTAACTATAGCCTGTAATGAATTAGCATTATTATGCTAATTTTATGGATGGAAAGAGAAAAAGGCAGAGAGGTTAAATGATTCACTCAGGAACCCATAACCACGTGCTCAAGTGGGTTATCCCAACCAAGAATTGCTGACAGACAAATGCAAGTGAGATGTCAGATACAAACATTATAAAAGGCTTCCAAAACCATGACATAATTGCTCTGAGGAAGTGCTCACCAGCAAGGAAATAGTGTTACTGTGGGCTTACAGCAGGTAAATTTCTTTCATTTGTTCTTTTATTTTGAAATTCTCTCTGGACCTTTGCAAGATCATTCATAAGCACCAAGAATTTCTTACTGGTTATGTTGGTTTACCCAGATACATACCTAAAAGTGGGAGGATATTTTAAATAATGGCCATGAGGCCTGAATCACTCATCTGTGTTACTCACATCAGTTATAACTTCCAAGAAGAGGACAACATGACTGCATCTGCTTTTCTTTAAAACATCAAACTGGATATAGAAAAGAGGACAAAACAGTTAAAATAATAAATTGCCTCTCCAAGAACCATTCCAATCTCCTTCAATATTTTCAGCTCTTAAAAAAAACCCCACCAAACAACAAACATTTAAAAGCTGGTCTGGACTCCTTTCCTTATTGAATATCCTGGAAAACACTTAATCTGGCACTCATTAAGCTTAGTCTGATTTAATATAGCTCACAACAAGAGGTATAACAGGTGCATCTTTACCAAGCATCAGGGACTCTATTCCAGACAAAAATAATCCTTAGCCTTTCTTCCACCCTTTGTACCATTCATCACTTGCTCCTTACTTACACTGGCAGTTTGTTTCATGTGCCTGCTTTGTTTTACTACCCTTTAGACTGCTTTTTCAATTATTCCTAATATGTCCATGATATTTGATAAATTTTGCAACTTCGTAAGTTTCTAGAATACCACAATCTTTATGCAAATGTATCTTGTTAGTCTCAAAACAAATACTTTTAATTAAGTCCTCATTATTAATGGCAGAAGAAAGCAAATGTTCTTTTATGAATATCCAACAATAAGTAACAAGTAATTAGTGAAATGTATTTTTCCTCTAAAACATACAGAATAAATTCTTGATTATTACCATTTTCTCCTTCATTAATCTTCTTAAAGGTTTCTTACCTGCTGATGTTGAAGATGCCTTTTATTTGCTGGGCAGTTCTGGCTTTATCAGTTTCTACGAAAACTTTTCCTTCTTCCTCATTAAATAAAAGTTAAATTAGCATAACATAGGAGCTGGACACTATAGACATAAGCAAATCCAGACTAATTAACTGCAGTGCAAGCTTATTCTCCATTTCCAGCTAACCACCATTTTCCCTGTTAGCAGTATGGTCAACAGTGAGAGCTTTCTCTTGGAGATTTCACTTAGTGCCTTAAGAATTTCCTCAGTTAACATCTTCTGAACACTGCTGGTTCAGGTATAGCAGTTACAATATTACTTCCATGCTGGTTTTGACAGAAGAGGACATTTGGAAAGAACAATCAAAATGCTGGGCAGTAGAAAACCCCAAAAACTCCAATCAGTACTAAATGGGCTCATCATCAAACAACTGAGTGGGCAGAGCCAGGTGCAGAACACTTCAGTTTTGACCGTCTCCTCGTTCACTATGAACTGAAAGTAAACCCTGTGACCAGCACCTTTGGGTCTACATAAATGTTTTTGCTGCTTTGTTTAATAAAGGCCTAAATAAGCACAGCTCTGTCTGCATTGCCAGTTGCAGGATGTAAGTGCAGCAGCACCTTCCTGCCTGAGCTAGTCTGGGCAGTGACAGAAAGGAAGACACGTCATCATCGCTCACTTCAGCCTAGGCCAGTCCCAAGAATTCCCAAGATCCCAGATAGACCCCTAACCTTGGTGATCTTCCAGACTTCCACAAACACTTGAGGCTGAAGATGCGTCAGCCAGTCTTCTCAACACAAGTTGCTTGTTCCTTCCTCAGGTAACAGGGTCAATCCATTCCTTCAAGAATTAACTGCATTACTTTTCTTAGTCCTGGTTCACTGCCTTGCTGCACAAACACTTGTGCTGGCACAAGGAAGAAGGGTTGGAACATATACCTGTGGCTGGGGAGGTGGTGTGACTCCCTCTTTTGGGAGGTGGTGGAAGAACTAACACCACCTTCATTGTTCCTGCTACCTCTTAACACAGTCTTGTAATTAGTTTAAACTGGTAGGAGCCAGTCAGAGATGACACTGCTCCCAGTGCCGGGTCCTTGTCAGGGCCGGCTGCTCCCCAGGGACAGGGAGATATATCACAGCAAGCAGAGCAGATGGCTCACCAGACACCATCCTACTCTCCTAAAATAAGGGAGCAGGGTAGGCTAGGGACAGTAGCCACGGCCAAACTAGGTCATCAAGCAAGCTCGTGGCAATGAGGCAGGTCCAAGGTCAGGCTGAGCAGTCAGTCTGCAGGTCAGGGTCAGACACAGGTGGGTCTGTGATGCCAGAGCAGGGCTGAGGTCAAGCAGGAAGCGGCCCAGCCTTGTGACCACCAGCCAGGACCACAGTGACAGGAAAGAGAAAAGATCGGGCTGCGAAGTCAGTCCACAGGTCTGAGGCCAGAACAGTCCACAATGACCCAGATCAACAGGCACAACCTACAGACAGGCACGGGTATGGCCGTGGTAGAAAAAGGTACAGCTGAACTTAAATAGAGCCTCTGGGCCCACGGGCAGGGGTGTGGGGGAGGCAAATAAAAGCTTATTAGTGCCATCAAGGCCTTGACAGTTCTACTCTTTCCTCTTCCTTGCGTCCTGTTCCTCCCACCCTCCTTAAGCCTTAGTGCTTGTGAGGCTGCATGAGGAGCCAGATCAGTGAAGTGCAAAAACGAACTGTCTTTTGGTAAGGTTATTTCTGGTTGTCTTAGTGAGCTTATTCATCTCCCTACGCTGCAGTATGAACACTAGAACTGGGGGTGTGGAGGCAGCTGGAACATGTGGCTCAGGGCTGAGAATCAATAGATGGTGGCAGATGTGGCAGTGTGGTCCAAATGGGGACTATGCCACTTGTGAAACTGTACTCAAAGTCTTCTGGAATTTCACACTGCAATCACCTCCTAATTTAAGAGCAGGTGTGTTATTGCAAGTGTCATTGCTCACAAACATCATTATGGAATTGATTCTGTTAGTTAATTTAAGTTTTTATTTATATAGCTCTACTAGATGATCTACATGCAGCTGGACTAGACGGTTGTTATGGGTCCCTCCCAACTGAAGTATTCTATTCTACAGACACAGCTGTGGGTGTACTTGTATTTGTCTAAAAGTGCTAGAGAACACTCACTGTCTCTAAGAGCGTAGTCTGGAGAAGAAACATTAAAATAAAGGAGAACCATTCCCAAGGAAGAAGAAAGGGAAAAGAAAACAATGTATTTTTTTTAAAATCAGAGCTTGTTTTTTCTTTCCTCAGTGTAATAACCCAGCAATGGAATGCAAATTAACATTCATGGGTTTTTTAAACAATAGCCTTTGTGTTCTGAACCACACTGACAAAGCAGAACAATCCAAGCAAAACATGATCACAAAATCTTTTGCCAGCAATGTGCTAGCCAGTTTTGTTGCAAACATCTAAAGCTGCGAGGGAATCTGTTTTGGAAAGTAATAAAGTAAGTGTAGCTTCTTTTTACTCAGCTGAAAATCTATTTTTTTTTTTTCTCAAGCTGAATTTCAAACTGTTACATCACTGCAAATTCCATTAAGTCAGTACGGTCCTAGGCTCTAGGCCCAGGAAGCCAGGCTGAATGTATACCAGCAAGGGCAGAACTCAATTTCCAGGATTTTTGTTAAAAATTAAGCAAAAATCACCCTGCTCCACTGTCAGAGACCTGACTATTCACTGTGCTTGCAAATACAGAGAACAGGATGTATCACCAACACCTATTGCCTTCTGGTTTGAAGACACTGAGAGAGAATACTCGTGATATACATGGTGCCAGCTTGACTTCCAAGTGGAAACACCAAAAGTTAAAAATACATGTAAAAGCATGCTTTCTCCTGAGAAATCTAAAATTCTAAAAAACTAATTCTGTGATTGCAGTTATTGCTGGCAGATGTCTGCTCCTGTGGAAGAGAACTTACCTGCTGCTCTGTTAAACTGCTGTGTAGCCTCTATTTAGACCAAATCACTGTTCCCAATCCAAATGTGTAAAATCTCCCAACCTATCTTTACACATAGGCAGAACCACACTGCCTAAGAGACCTTCCTGGAACTAGTGTTGAAAAGATTTGCAGGATGGTAGAACATTTGTAGTGAAGGTGTTGTGAATGAGTGGTCTCTTGGTATGTTGGCAATATAGTATAGCAAACTTGAGAGTTCACTGGCTCTGAGAGATTGTCCCACTCAGAGAAGAGGACAGAAAAATACTAGTGGGATGTCAGATACATCACAGTCCACTGTGGTCCAGGAGAGCTCAAAGTGTCTCACTTAGGACCATTGTTTATGGGATCTCAGGAGAGTTGCCTCTAGTCATAGTAATTTTCCATCCTGGTTGCAATTAGGGTCAGCAATTTTCTTTGAAAGAGTGATAATAAAAATGTTGTTCCACTCAAGTTGTTATTTTAGCAAGACAAGTTAAGTTTCCAAGGCTGTTCATTAAAAACCAGGAGCTTGTTAGCCAATGTAAGCTCCTGGAAGCAGTGTTTCTGGTAAGGTCAAGAGGACCTTAGTCCAGGTGCTGTTCATCAAGGCCGAGGCCTAACAAGCATTTCTGAGATCAGAGCGTGGCCCAAGGAGGGGGGGAAGATGCACTGCCACAGAAGGCAAGCTTGGGTATACGCTCCAAGGTGTGTCTGTCTACATCCTCTGAAATGATAACCATCAACAGCTGTCACCACTGTGAAATCCTCTGTGTAAATCACAGAAGATATCCTCTGCATTAGCAGTGGAGAATATATGAATATCATAGCCAGCAGTAACAATCGTAAGTCAGTGAAGGGAAAAGGATCACCACAAGGACAATTGGTTTCTATGTGTCTTTCTTCCACACAGCATGTGGTTCTCAGCCATCTCTAGGCTGTGGTTACTCACTGTGGGTAAGCAGGTTGGCTGCTGCTGCTGCTGTGTGAGGTTCTCTGCTGCTATAAAATGGATCAATGCAACTGGACAAGTGCATAGGAAGAGCAGGGACAAAACAGCATACTGTGCATTGTGCATTTAAAGCATAAAACCACAATAAAGCCAAAGTAGCAATTTTAGAACTCTCATAAGGGATAAGGGGAAAAAGTCAGAAATTATTAACAGCCCTCATGAGTTCTTGCCTACTTGACAAGGATTCCACTGGCATTACCTCTCACTTTGAAAAAGTACCCCTTACTTTGAAAAAAGGATTCAATGATTCTGGAATGTTTAGCATCTTGTTAAATATAACATGCTGAGTATATTTGTTTGAAAAGGTCTGTGGTTGCCTTAGCTTGTGATCTCTAATCACCTTACTATGATTAAACTGCATAACATCTGGTA